GATATAAATTTTACGTTTTATAAAATGGTGTGTTTGGTAACGTTTACATTTTCAGTTTATATTTACAAAAATTTTATAAATTGTTTTTGTTTATTTTTTGTTTATTTTTAGAAAAACATAAACTACAAACGCGTTTGGTAATTAACAAAATATTTAAAAAAATTTAAAAATATAAAAAAGAGTGAGAAATGGCAAGTGGTGGCAAGTGGCGGCGGAAGACGGTGGTGGAAAGTGGTGAAGGTGGGTGGTGGGTGGCTGGTGGTGGCAGGTGGTGGATGGTGGTGGTGGCAGGTGGGTGGTGAGTGGTGGTGGCAAGTAGGTGGTGGTGGCGGGCGGTGGATGGTAGTGGCGAGTGGTGGGTAGTGGTGGTGGCGGAAGACGGTGGTGAAAAATGGTAGCGGGTGGTGGCTAGTGTTGGGTGGTAAAAAAAAAAAAAAAAATGAAAACTCAAAATGGAAACAAATTTTTTTTGTTTTCATTTTTTAACCAAATTTATAAACTGAGACCACTGATTTATAAATCAAAAATTTTACCAAACAAGTTTTTATTTGAGTTTTTAAAATTTTTGTAAATATAAACAGAAAACTGAAAACGTAAGTGTTACCAAACGGCAAATGTTTGAATTTAGGATTATGAATAAAAATAAATTATTCAAATATATATTCTGTTCAATTATTTATATCCGAACTACTTTATGTTCATAAATTTATATTCGAACATTTGATTTTTGTTCAAATATTTATATCCGAACACTATTTATGATATGTATTGAGAGTTTATACTATGTACAAATAGAATTATACAAAAATAATACCTCTATTGAAGCTGATTTATTCAAAATAATTCACAACCATAATAATATAAACTTTTTATGCGTTCATCTTTTTAGTCTATTGAATATAAAATTGAAAGTGGCAAAATTTGAAACTGCCAATTTATTTTGTTATAAATGTTAAATTATGTTTTTTTTCCCCTCTTTCTTTTTAGGGGTAATAATTGTGACATTTGTCCCAGCTGACCGCTTGAGCAGTGAAAGTACTGCTCGAGCGAAGATGGAGAACATCTAGTCACTCGAGCGAGAGTGGACTGCTTGAGCGAACTAGTGGTCACTCGAGCCAACTTGAAGAGCTCCCAGTATCTCATTTTGCAGACAAAAATACTGAGAGGCCTCATTCACCGTTCGAGCAATGAAAAGACCGCTTGAGCAGTCTGCGCAAAACCAGCAACTTAAAAAGTAACTTTTTAGCTTATTTCTTCACCTTTTCCTTTCTACCTTCTCTCTCCTCTCCCCATCTCCGAAAACCCTAAGTTTCTAAGATCTAGCCTAAATCACTTGCAAGAAATGAAGTACATGTGAAGATCTTCATTTCTACCAATTAGATTGCGATTTTACGAAGAGTACACTTTGAAGTTTAGCATTGTTACCTATAACTTGAGGTAGGGTTACTTTTAACTTAGTATCTCTTTGATTTAAAGATGATTATGTGGTATGATTGTAAATATAAGAATTGATTTAATGATTGAGTGAGATTAAGCTTGTATTTGACACAAAGGGAAATTTTATTTGACTATTGTTAGAGTTTCACCCAATTTTCCATATAATATGAACATTGATGTTGAGATATATATATATATATATATATGAAAATAGAGTGAAAGCCCCAAAATTATTGAAACCTTAATTTTGATCTTGATAGAGAATGATATTGTGATCAAATTTATCCTTAATTCTTGAGATTTTGTGGATGATTAAAGGGTGAGTGTAGTAATTGTGGAGTTGAGAATGTGATTTGGACATAGATGAAATTATAACTCCTACATCTTTATTTGTTTCATGTGAAATTGGATACTTGTTCTTTTGAAAAATAGTTCAATGAGAGGTAAATAAAGTATGAGTCCGGGTAGAGAGTGTCAAGCTTCAAATTTTATTACCTGGAAACATTACCAAAACCTTTAATTTAAGCTCATTTACTCAATACATTTATATATACAAGTGACCATTACACTTGAGTAGAAGAAAAATGTTTTCCCTCGAATGTGTAACGTCCCCAAAATAATTACAATAATCCAACTCCAAACACTAGTGCAGAGTGGTATAAATAAAATAAGAAGTTTTCATTAATCAAAGTCAATATACAAAAGGTGACACATGCGATGTACATTCATAAATCGTTCATCCTGAATCTACAACATGTGTTACAAGAAGAAATAAGAAATGAAAGCTAAACAGATATTCATATGCCCTAATGGCTTACATCTTTCCAAGATCATGCTTGGTTACAACAAAATGAGTGTGATAACCCAACTCGTACTATACTTAATTATGCACATGATTATGTGTTTGATATGAATTTGCAAATTTAAGTATGTGAATTATGTGAATTTGAAAAAATATCTGTGGAAAGTAGAAATATCTGTTGCAATTGAGACTTTGAACCGAAATTGAAGGCCTTAGAGGCACGATAAAGAAAAACCGACTTCATATCTATGATTAGCATGATTTATAGAGCTTACGATGAAATTTTGAAAAATTATGATCCGTAATGATTTAATCATGTTTTGTGAGTTGGGTCATATATGAGTTGTTTAGCCCTGTTGTTCTTCATTTGTTGCTTGAGAGCCCTAGAAAGTGAGTTAGAGAGAGAGAGAGTGGAAGAGAAAGCTAAGGATTTGAAGAAAATCAGAGGGAAAACCTTAGATTTTAGTTGAGGTATGTTAATTTACTTACAAACTTTGTCTCTAACTTATCTTTGTCAAGAAATCATGAAGAAATTAGGAATTTTGAGCTAGGGTGTTGAGTTATGTAGTGACTAGGGCTAAAGGCATGAAATTGGACCTTAATCTCTACACCATTGTTTGATTTGTGTTCATTTTTATGATTGATCCATGAAACAAACCCTAGATGGTTCATATAAACAAGATTTGTGAGAAAATCATTCATAAATATATGTATTTTGAACTTGTGTATGTAAACCATGAAATTGTGAAAAGATGAGACCATGAAATTGTTGTTGATGCAAGATTGATATGTTTAATATGGAATTACACTTGTATCATGCTTAGATATCATATTTTTTAGTTGTTTTTACATGGATTTGGGCTTGGGAATGAGAGGAAAACGTTTGTATCTTAGAGCCATTTTCGGACTGCCCGAGTGAGCGTAGACCGCTCATGCGGCCTCAAGCTCTGCACGAGCGCCGAAGATTTAAGCCTAAACCCACTCTTCATTGTGCGCTTGAGCGGCGGCCATTTCCGCACGTGCGGAGCCAGACTGCTCAAGCGGCTGTTGTTTTACTACCCCCAGCCTCTGGAATGCATTCCCAACCTTTTTTGAGCCCCTTTTGGGCGTGAAATGATGAATAGAAACTCATTAAAGAAGGTTGTGAATAATGAAAGAAAAGAGTACAATTGAAGTGAATTACTTATTGAATATGTGTGTGACATGTTTGGTATAGGTCGTGTGCTGGGGGAAACGCCACAAGATTGATCCCACTGTGAGTAATAATATCATATTTATATGTTCATTATTGTGTACCTCGAACCATGAACGGTGAATGGTTTTGACATTGTGATTTGTTTGAAATAAGAAACCTCATTAATATTATATGACATGTGCAACGTTGGGCCCGGGACCGTTTTGTTATATGTTGGGCCCGAGGCCATTTTGAAATATGATTGGGCCCGAGGCCATTTTGTTATATGTTGGGCCCGAGGCCATTTTGAAATATGATTAGGCCCGAGGCTGTTTTGTTATATGTTGGGCCCGAGGCCATTTTGAAATATGATTGGACCCAAGACCATTTTCGTTATATGTTGGGCCCGAGGCCGTTTTGAAATATGATTGGGCCCGAGGCCATTTTGATATATGATTGGGCCCGAAGTCATTTTATTATATGTTGGGCCCGAGGTCGTTTTGAAGTATGATTTGGCCTATGGCCGTTTTGTTTATAAGATTTTGGGTATTGTGAGAATCTTATGACTATCTATTGACACTATTTTACTGTATTGTTAGTCATTGAGCTTCGCTCACCCAATTTTATGTATGCACATATAGGTAATCCACAGCATGGAGCACACCCCTAGAGTCAGTTTCATGAGCCATTCTTTTTTAGACCCAATCGAGTGACACCTCCAAGATGGAGTTTCATCTCTGACTCACATCATACTTTGACTCTATTTTGTTTTTGCTATTGTGGTCTTGGGTTTGTAAATGTTATGCACAAATTTCTTTCGATACTTATATTCTTTTTGCATGGGCATGTAAATGATGTGGATGTGTTACTTTTTGCTCATATTGGTATAGCTCAATGGAATCATTCTTTTGTTGTATACTTCCGCTTTTGGTCCCATTACTATAATTACTCTGTATGTTTGTTTGAGGCCAAAGGTAATCAAGTGATTACCGGCCGGTTATGCCCCAAACTTTTAGGGGCAGGGTCGGGTCATGACAGAGTGGTATCAGAGCACAAGTTAATATCTTACACACGAGTCCGTGCAAGCAATAAGAAGTCTAGAAAGGGTTTAAGTTGCATTCATAATGCATCCATAATCAAGTATGACATGAAAATGTGCATTTGTAAATGTGACTTATGTGTTTATTATTTGGAAAAGTTATAATGTGTGTTCCTCTAGATCATGGTGAGAACAAGAGCAGAGGATGGAGAGGATTAAACCTACGCGCGACTTGATAGAATGGAGGCAATGATCATGGACAAGGTTGAGGCCTTTAGAAAACAACAACAATAACAACCACCGCCACCAATGCAAGACCACCAGACTGACGATTGAACTATTGCTCTCACAAAAGAATTTAAGAAGATGAACCACCCTTGTTCAAAGGAGGAATTGACCCATTAAAGGTGGAGGCTTGAGTGCTGGGTATCGAGAAATTATTTGAAGTCTTTCCATGTACGGAGGAACATAAAGTCTTGCTAGCTGCTTTTACACTAGAGGATGAGGCGCGCCATTGGTGGATGCTTATTTGAGGAGAGCATCAAGGGATGAATGGGGCTCAATTTTTGGAGATCTTCTATGAGAAATACTTTCCACAAAGTAACCGAGACAGGAAGGTGTCGGAGTTTGAAAACTTGAAGCAAGGAAACAAGACCATAGCGGAGTATGAAGTGCAATCTACCAAATTAGCCTGTTTTGCACCGTACATGGTCGATACGGACTACAAGAAGGCGAGGAAATTTGAGGGATGTCTTCAAGACTCCATTCTTGAGAAGATTAATATATTGCAGGTACAGAAATATGTGGATGTATTAGATAAGGCCATCATAGTGGAAGGTAACCAAGCCAACCACAACTGGTACTCGGATTGGAAGGGCAAAAGGCAAGGCTCCATTGTGCGTAAAGGGTCGGCATCCTCACAAAGTAAGAAGCAAAATTTGGGAACTTCCAACACTTCAGGTTCTACTTGTGATTCGTCACCAACTTACCCAGAGTGCGGAAAGAAGGGCCAGAGGGTTTTTTATCGAGCATTAGGAGCTTGCTTTAATTATGGAAAGACGGGGCATATGGTGAGAGATTGTCCTATGTTTGGGCAACAAAAAGGGAATAGGCCATCTGCTAGTTCAGCCGGCTCCACTCCTGCAACAAAGAAGATTGTCCTATGTTTGGGCAACGAAAAGGAAATAGGCCAACTGCTAGTTCAGCCAGTTCTACTTCTGCAACAAAAACCTTGGCAAGGCCTACTTCTTTTAGAGACAATGTTAGGCAAGAGAGAGTCTTTGCTCTTGTTCTGGGTGATGTCCAAAATTCAGATGCTGTGGTTTCAGGTACGCTTTCCATCAATGGCCAACCTGCTCATGTGCTACTTGATTCGGGTTCCACCCATTCCTTTGTTTCAAAAACATTTGCTCCTAATTTGAATAGATATATGGAACCCTTGAATTATGTGTTGTGCGTGTCTCTCCCATTCGGGGACTATGTGTTGTGTGCTTCTATGTATCCTGCATGTGAGCTTTTACTTAAAGATATTCCATTGTGGGCTAATTTGATGCCTCTTGATATGGTACACTTTGATATAATTTTGGGAATGGATTGGTTAGCTAAGTATCATACAACCATTGATTGTGTGTCTAAGCAAGTTGTTTTCCGCCCACCGGGTCAGGGTGAGTTTACTTTTTTGGGACATGGGGTGGTCCCTCCGCCCTATTTGATATCGGCTATGAAAGCTTGTAAACTACTTCATAAGGGTTGTAGGGGTTATTTGTGTATTATTTTGCATGCAGAGAAAACTGAGGTGGGTGTTGAAAATATTCAAATTTTTAGTGAGTTTCCAGATGTATTTCATGAAGAATTTCCAGGGGACTTGATAGATCGTGAGATTGAATTTGTCATTGATATTGTACCGGGTACTCAACCTATTTCGAAGGCTCTGTATAGAATGTCTCTGGCAGAAATGAAGGAATTGAAAATATAGTTGCAAGAATTGCTTGACAAGGGGTTCATTTGTTCGAGTACATCGCCATGGGGTGCATCGGTTTTGTTTGTGAAAAAGAAGAATGGGACCCTTCAGTTGTGTATTGATTACCAAGAACTTAATAAGGTAACGGTGAAGAATAAATATCCTTTACCACAGATTGATGATTTGTTTGACCAATTACAGGGGGCACAAGTGTTTTCAAAAATCGACTTGAGATCCGGGTACCATCAGTTGAAAGTCAAAGCAGAGGATGTTGAGAAGACTGCCTTTCGAACCACGTACGGCCATTACGAATTTTTAGTTTTGCCATTTAGGGTTACGAATGCACCGACAGCTTTTATGGATTTAATGAATCGGATTTTCAAACTGCACTTGGATGAGTTTGTGGTGGTATTCATTAATGACATTCTTATTTATTCGAAGAGTAGGGAGGAACATGAAAGGCACTTGAGATTAATTCTTCAAACACTTAGGGACAAGAAGTTATATCCTAAATTGAAGAAATGTGAATTTTGGTTGAATGAAGTTGTGTTTTTGGGGCTTGTAATTAACAAGGATGGTGTGTCTGTCGATCCGCAAAAGATAGAAGTTATTGTGAATTAGCTTGCTTCCACCAACACTGCAGAAGTACATAGTTTTATGGGTTTAGCTGGTTACTACCGAAGATTTGTTAAAGATTTCTCTAAGATTGCGGTGCCGCTTACCCTATTGACTCAAAAAGGTGTTCCATTTGAGTGGACGGAACAGCGGGAGTCCGCTTTCCAAGAATTAAAAACAAGGCTCACAACGGCATCGGTTCTCGCCTTACCATCAAGTACAAAAGGGTTTGTTATTTATAGTGATGTTTCTCATAAGGGTTTAGGGTGTGAACTTATGCAAAATGGAAGGGTAATTGCGTATGCATCTTGACAATTGAAGCCACATGAAAAGAATTACCCTACGCATGATTTGGAATTAATTGATGTGGTATTTACATTGAAGATATGGCGGCATTATCTTTATGGAGCAACATGTGAAGTCTACACCGACCACAAGAGCCTCAAGTATTTCTTTACTCAAAAGGAGCTTAATATGCAACAAAGACAGTGGTTAGAACTCATCAAGGATTATGACTTATAGATTCATTATCATCTTGGTAAAGCCAATACGGTAGTGGATGCTCTTAGTAGAAAGTCAACAGGAAACTTAGCATGTTTGCTTATGGAGTAGAATGAACTATTACTTGACTTGGAAAAAATGGAGGAGAAAATTGTACTACATGAACAAGATGGAATGTTGGCCGCAATGACCGCACAACTGGCTATTATTGAGGAAATGAAACAAAGGCAATTGGAGGATGAATTCCTCAAGAAAGTATATGATGAGATGGAAGCAAAACCGAGACCGGGATTTTCTTTGGAAGCTTAATTGTTGAAGTTCAAGGGAAGATTGTGTATTCCAAATGTCGCTGAAGTTAAAGGAAGAGTCTTGGAAGAAGCTTACAAGTCCAGGTTTGCTATGCATCCTAGGAATACCAAAATGTACCAAGATCTCAAGCAAGCCTTTTGGTGGCCTAATATGAAGAGAGAAATTGCGAAATTCATTTCAAGGTGCCTTCAATGTCAACAAGTGAAAGTGGAGCACCAAAGACCGGCGGGGTTACTTCAACCTCTTCGTATTCTAGAATAGAAGTGGGAGCATATAACTATGGATTTTATTGTGGGCTTACCCTGAACACCCCGAGGTATGGATTCTATATGGGTTGTTATGGATAGATTGACTAAAGACCACACTTCATTTTACCCCCTATGGTATACGCCATGTGCGGATCACCGCCTTGACGTTCGAATATCACCGCATAACCCCCCTGTGGTTGATGGAGTGAAGTGCACAGTTTGTTTTTTCATCTATTCTAACAGGCTGTGCAATACACACGAGGGTTGTGCAATTGGTCATGGAAAAATAATTTTTTATCCAAATTAAATGACTAAAATGCCCTCATCTTCATCACCAATTTCCAAAGCAGTCCTTCTTCTTCATTTTCAAAACCCTGATCTGGAAATCTCTACCCAGAAGAAGGGGAAAAAAAAAAGAGTAAAATTACAAACTCCCACCGATAACTCCATAATCAAACCACTCCCAATGAAAGTAATCAATTGCAAATGTTTAACAAACAAATGTTTAAGTTTGATCAAATCAATTGGTGTTAAATTATGACAAGTAAATAAAAAGGAAAACAAAATATATAACCTGTAACATACATGTTTGGTGTAAAATTTGAATCACCAACTCTAACATACACACACACACACACACACACATATATATATATATATATATATATATATAAACCTACAAATTGTATCACGAACATATATATGCACAGTGAATAATATATATATTATCCAATCATTCAATATTTTACAAATCAATTTAAAATCTAAATACTAAATTCCTAAAATCATTCACAGCAATGGGTATCTCTCTTATTTCTCATCCAATTTGATCGTCTTCGCACACTTCGTATATCACCTCTAATGGTGCTCGCACATCCCATTCAACGAACGATTCAGCGTAAAACGGGTTCAAATCCAAACCCATTTCTATCTTGAACTCAAAATTCGATTCGATCAAGACCCATTTGCGAACTTCGACTGTCGAATCATGATGATGATGGGTTTGTTCTGGTTCAGTGGAATTGAAAGTAAAGGTTCAACTGTCATCGATGGTTTACATAAGTCATTATGATTGTGTACAGGTTTAGCCTGTGTATTTCCAGGTTCAGCCATGGACGTTATAGTCCATGGTTGCTATGTTTTGTTATGTAATACAGACTGCTTTTGTTAGTTTTGGTTAGTTCTTGATGGTGTAGAACTATTGACTTAGTTTGGTGTTTTGTCATCATCTATGTGATAACTTAGGTGCTATGTAGAGGTGGTCTCGCCGTCCATGGTGGCAGTTTTAGTCGTCCACTATGTTTTTTGTGGGTTTCATCCGTCTATGGTTATGATTTTGTTTAATTATAGAGAAATGGTACGGTTGTAATTTTAAAGAGAGAAGGAGGAAGAACATGGCGTGTCTTTGTTGTTTAAATTAATTTGTTAAATCAAAATCCTAATTTCATATATCAAAACCCTAAGTTCTCCCTCTGGTTCTTCTCAAATGCACAACTGTTGAAGAAGAAATGTTAAACAAAGGTTATATATACAAGGGCAAAATAGTCTTTTTACTTCTGATGTTGACGGTGGTAATTGTGCATTTCACTCCATCAACCACAGGGGGGTTATGTAGTGATATTCGAACGTCAGAGAGGTGATTCACACATGGCCTATACCATAGGGGGTAAAGTGAAGTTTGCCCTTGACTAAATCCGCTCACTTTTTTGCCTGTGAAGACTGTTTATAATGCTGATCGACTTGCTATAGTGTACATTGCTGAGATTATTCGATTGCACGGCGTTCCGGTTTCCATTGTGTCGGATAGAGATTCTAAGTTTGTGTCAAGGTATTGGCACAGCTTACAAAAAGCATTGGGGACGGAGTTGAAGTTTAGTATCGCATTTCATCTACAAACTGATGGACAATCTGAAAGAACTATACAAACATTGGAGGACATGCTCCGAATGTGTGTTTTGGATTTTCGTGAAAGTTGGGAAACTCATTTACCTTTGGCGGAATTTTTTTATAACAACAGTTTCCACTCTAGTATTAGAATGGCACCATATGAAGCTTTGTATGGGAGAAAATGTCGAACTCCGATTTGTTGGACAGAGGTTGGGGATAGGTCGTTGATTGGGCCTAAAATTGTGCAAGTTACTATGGAAAAGATTCAAATCATCCAACAGAGATTGAAAACTGCTTAAAGCCAACAAAAGAGCTATGCAGATCAAATAAGGAGAGACTTGGAGTTTGAAGTTGGGGTTCATGCTTTTGTCAAAGTCACTCCAATGAAAGGGCACATAAGATTTGGGGAAAAAAAGGAAAATTATCACCCCGGTACATAGGGGCGTATCAGATTTTGGAAAGATTAGGTTCGGTTGCCTATCAGGTTGCTTTACCATCGGGCATGGAGCAAGTGCACAATGTGTTTCACATATCAATGTTGTGAGGCTACCTTCAAGACCCTTCTCATGTTATTGACTATCATCAAATTGTGCTAGATGACAATATGGCTTATGAGGAGAAACCCCATCGAATCCTTGATCGGCAAGTCAAACAACTAAGGAACAAGGCTACCCCAATGATAAAAGTGGAATGGAGGGAACATCATGGAAGCGAAGGCACTTGGAAATGAGAAGAAGAAATGAGGCAACAATAATTGGAATTATTTTCAACTTAAGGTAAACAAGTTTAGAGGACCAAACTCCATAAAGGGGGGAGACTATGACAACCCAACCCATACTATACTTAATTATGCACGTGATTATGTGATTGATATGAATTTTTAAATTTAAGTATGTGAATTATGTAAATTTGGAAAAATATCTGTGGAAAGTAGAAATATCTGTTGTAATTGAGACTTTGAACCGAAATTGAAGGCCTTAGAGGTGCGATAAACAAAAACCGACTTCATATCTATGATTAACATGATTTATAAAGCTTACAGTGAAATTTTGAAAAATTATGATCCGTAATGATTTAATCACGTTTTATGAGTTAGGTCATATATGAGTTAGGGCAAACTTCACTTTACCCTCTATGGTTTGGGCCATGTGTGAATTACCACCCTGGCATTCAAATATCACCACATAACCCCCTTGTGGTTGGTGGACTAAAACGCTTAGTTAGCTTTTCCATTAAAGTGAGAGTCACGCGCTTGCAATGAGAGTAACACTATTTTTAAGACGAAAATTCCCTTGGCACATCTTCAAATTTATAAACAATGCCATCAGATCTGTAAACCTCTAGTCAGGAGAAGAAAAAAAGAAAAAAAGATGAGAGATGGTTTGATCTTACTGAATATGGTTTGATGTTCGTACTACCAAAATTTTTTGAGCTTCTTACTACCTAACTCCGGTC